TTTTTTTTTTTTTTTTTTTTTTTTTGAGTCGGAGTTTCGCTCTTGTTACCCAGGCTGGAGTGCAATGGCCCGATCTCGGCTCACCGCAACCTCCGCCTCCTGGGCTCGGGCAATTCTCCTGCCTCAGCCTCCTCAGTAGCTGGGATTACAGGCACGCGCCACCATGCCCAGCTAATGTTTTTGTATTTTTAGTAGAGACGGGGTTTCACCATGTTGACCAGGATGGTCTCGATCTCTTGACCTTGTGATCCACCCGCCTCGGCCTCCCAAAGTGCTGGGATTACAGGCTTGAGCCACCGCGCCCGGCTCAAAGCTCTCTTAAAGGCACTTACTTTGGAGATGTGGTTGTGCTTATCATCTAGGCTAGTCTTGAAATCCTGGCCTGCAGAAATTCTCCAACCTCAGTGTACCGTGTAGCCGTCATTACACATCTGAGCCATGATGCCTGGCTCTCTCATGAAGGAATTTTTGTTAGGGATGACTGAAATTTTTTTTTTTTTTTGCTGTGGGGAGGATAATCAAATAGAGTACCTTTTATTTATTTTTATTATTTGAGATGGAGTCTCACTCTGTTGGGAGGTTAGAGTGCAGTGTTGCAATCTTGGCTCGCTGTGACCTTTGCCTCCTGGAATCAAGTGATTCTCCTGCCTTAGCCTCCTGAGTAGCTGGGACTACAGGAGTGTGTCACCACACCCAGCTAATTTTTGTATTTTTAGTAGAGACGGGTTTCACCATGTTGGCCAGAAAGGTCTCAATCTCTTGACCTCATGATCTGCCTGCTTCAGCCTCCCAAAGTGCTGGGATTACAGGCATGAGCCACTGCCCGTGGTGAATGAGCACCTTTTATTTTTTTATGTCATTGATATTACCTTTTCTATACATTTTTACTTCGTATTTTATTTCAAACGTCTATAATTTTAGATTCAAACATTTAGAACAGTATCGTAGAATTTATATGTTATGCCTGAAGTAAATTAGATAATTTTAGGACACTCCATATTACTAAAATGGTTACTTATAAATTTAAGTTTGTTGCAGGTAAAAAGGAATTATAGGATTTTCACCCAGTTTCTTCAGCATACATCTAAATGGTAACATAATTTATTTCTGAATATTTGGTTTACATATCAGAGGCTCTAACTCTGTTCTTCAAAATATAAGTTTTAATTTAGCAACATAGTCTATTCTTTGCTTCTAAAGTGGGATTACAGCAGTTTCATTTTGTGTAAGAACAGCATATATTTAAAAACTATCACATTTCTTCAACTGCTTATCAAACTTTCTCATCAGAATATTCTATTTATAAATATAATGCATGTTCTGTGAAATTTTACTGCCACACAGTGCATGCCAAATTATTTGAAGTACTTGCCTTCCATCAGTACACAGTGAAATATTGTTGTTATCTGGATCTTTTTTTTTTGAGATGGAGTTTTGCTCTTGTTGCCCAGACTGGAATACAGTGGCATGATCTTGGCTCACCACAACCTCTGCCTCCCAAGTAGCTGGGATTAAAGACCTGTGTCACCACACTCAGCTAATTTTGTGTTTTTAGTAGAGACAAGGTTTCTTTTTTTTTTTTTTTTTTTTTTTTGGAGACGGAGTTTCACTCTTGTTACCCAGGCTGGAGTGCAATGGCGCGATCTCGGCTCACCGCAACCTCTGCCTCCTGAGTTCAGGCAATTCTCCTGCCTCAGCCTCCTGAGTAGCTGGGACTACAGACACGCGCCACCATGCCCAGCTAATTTTTTTGTATTTTTAGTAGAGACGGGGTTTCACCATGTTGACCAGGATGGTCTCGATCTCTTGACCTTGTGATCCACCCGCCTCGGCCTCCCAAAGTGCTGGGATTACAGGCTTGAGCCACCGCGCCCGGCCCGAGACAAGGTTTCTTTATGTTGATCAGGCTGCTCTCAAACTTCCAACCTCAGGTGATCCACTGGCCTCAGCCTCTCAAAATGCTGGGATTATAGGCATGAGCCACTGTGCAAATAATTCTCTTTTAATAGTAAATCAGGATTGCATACCATATTTTATGAGTAAACATGTCTTTTATTGTTGTGCAGTTTCATAATAGTGTTTTTTTTAGTTTAGGTTTCTTAACATCAACATATTGTGTTTTTAGTCTTTCTTATATAATTTTAGCCAATTTGCAACTTTGTTTGTATACTTTAAGTCAATTTGAGGTTTAATTGAGAGATAAATCAGCCATATGTCTATCATAATCAGATTATATGTTTGTTTATAAATATGACCTCAATATTGGTTATGGTTTAGCTGATTTTCTTTTAAATTATTTATTATTTTATTTCTATTTTTTGAGATGAAGTCTTGCCCTGTCACCCAGGCTTAAGTGCAATGGCACAATCTCAGCTCAAAGCAACCTCTGTTTCCCAGGTTCAAGCCATTCTCCAGCCTCAGCCTCCCAAGCAGCTGGGATTACATGTGCCTGCCACCTAACTCAGCTAATTTTTGTATTTTTAATAGAGATGGTGTTTCGCCATGTTGGCCAGGCTGGTCTCGAACTCCTGACCTCAGGTGATCTGCCTGCCCCATCCTCCCAAAGTGCTGGGATTGCAGGCATGATCTACCTTGCCTGGCCAAAGCTTATAACACCCAGTATTCCCAGGCAATCTTCTAAGTCTCAGCAAGGCCTGACCCTGCTTAGCTTCCAAGATTGGGCATGGTTAGAAGGTTATGGCTGTAGCTGTCAGCCTCTGATTTAATTTTATTATTTGGCCAGCAGTCCTTCAGGAGCAGATTGCTCAATTTTCATGTAGTTGTGTGTTTTGGAGTGAGTTACATATTCTTGAGTTTTTGTTGTTATTGTTTTTGTTATTTTTTGAGACAGAATCTTACTCTGTCACCCAGGCTGGAGTGCAGTGGCATGATCTTTGTCCACTGTTACTTCTGTCTCCTGGCTTCAAGTGATTCTTGTGCCTTGGTCTCCTGAGTAGCTAAGATTACAGGCATGTGCCACCCTGCTCAGCTAATTTTTTTGTATTTTTCCTAGAGATGGGGTTTCACCGTGTTGGCCAGGCTGACCCCAACCTCCTGATATCAAGCGGTCTACCCACATTGGCCTCTGATCAAGACCTTTTAGGCCAACATGGTAAAACCCTGTTTCTACTAAAAATTACAAAACAACAACAACAACAAATAGCTGGGCATGGTGACATGCGCCTATAGTCCCAGCTGTTCGGGAGGCTGAGGCAGGAGAATCACTTGAACCAGAAGGTGGAGGTGCCGAGATCGCACCGCTGCACTCCAGCCTAGTGACAGAGCAAGAATCAGTTAAAAAAAAGTGTGCTGGGATTACAGGCATGGGCTATTGTGCCTGGTGAGTTTCTTACTCTTGAGTTTTAATTTGATTTCACTGCAGTCTGAGAGACTGTGATGATTTCAGTTCTTTTACATTTCCCGAGTAGTGTTTTACTTCCAATTATGTGATCAGTGTTAGAATTAAGTACCACGTGGACCTTAAACAAATGTGCATTGTGTTGTTTGTGACTGGAGAATTCTCTAGATATCTATCAGGTCCACTTGGCCCACAGCTGAGTTCAAGTCCTAAATATTCTTGTTACATTTCTGTCTCAATGATCTGTATAATATTAACAGTGGGCCGGGCGCGGTGGCTCAAGCCTGTAATCCCAGCACTGTGGGAGGCCGAGGCGGGTGGATCACGAGGTCAAGAGATCGAGACCATCCTGGTCAACATGGTGAAACCCCGTCTCTACTAAAAATACAAAAAATCAGCTGGGCATGGTGGTGCGTGCCTGTAATCCCAGCTACTCAGGAGGCTGAGGCAGGAGAATTGCCTGAACCCGGGAGACGGAGGTTGCGGTGAGCCGAGATCACGCCATTGCACTCCAGCCTGGGTAACAAGAGCGAAACTCCGTCTCAAAAAAAAAAAAAAAAAAAAAAAAAATATTAACAGTGGAGTGTTAAAGTCTCTCACTGTTATTATGCAGGAGTAATGTTTTATTCTTCCCATATTTGTGCTTTTTTTTAGCAGTTCTATCAAGGCAGGCTTGGTGGTGATGTATTCCTTCAGCATTTGCTTGTCTGAAAAGAATTTTATTTTTCTTATGAAGACTTAGCAATGTTATGGTTTTATTTGCATCTTGTATCTTTGTTCTTCATTTTCTCTTTTTCTGTGTTTGTGTCTTTTTTATACTTACCTTGATATGTTTTTACTTATTCCTTATTTTCATTTATCTATGCAAATATATTCTTTTTTTTCCTTTTCTTTTTGTTTCACTGTACAGGAAAGTCTTCTGCCAGATATGCAGATACCTTCTTGGTGGTACCTTGGGGATTATGTAAAACATCTAAAAGATAAAATAATGTATTTTAATCTGGTAAAAAATGAACTTCAGTTGCATTCAAAAATTTTTTCTCATTACGTCTGCCTCAAATTTGTCAGTGATGTTGGTAATTATATATTATCTTGTATATTGACAAATGTTTATAATGATTTCTATGTTTTTACCTTTTAAATTTTAGAGGATATTTTAAAATGTTTTTGTATCATTATTATGCTAAGAAATTCTATTTTTTGCTGCATGTACATTGCCGTCCCAGAGAATAATGTGTTTTATGTGATTGTACTATTTTGTTAAATCATGTTATTTTGAGCAGAAGCAACTGCTTTCAGCACCTTTTCTTTTTAGGGCATATGAAGTACAAAATACTTTTCAGAATTTGGTTATTGTTGAAGTTTGTTTATTCTTTTTTTTGGCAGGACAGATACGCTGATGGTATTATTCTCATTTTATATCTTTTTTTTTTTTCCAGGGCTTTGACTGTATCACACAGTTTCCTTTTAGCCTGCAAAGTTTGTTGACAGTTCACCGGCTATCTCATAAGACTATGCTTATAAATGACACATCATTTTTATCTTGCAACTTCATCCTCCTCTTGTCTGTGACTTTTGAAATTGTGCTTATATGTGTTCGTTATAAATATCTTTGTGTGTACCTTTGTTTGTTTGTTGAGCTGCTGCTGCTGCTTTTTTAAGATGAAGTCTACTCTGTCACCCAGGCTGGAGTGCAGTGGCACGATGTTGGCTCACTGAAACCTCCGCCTCCTGGGTTCACGTGATTCTCCTGCCTCACCTTCTGAGTAGCTGGGAGTACAGGCACATGCCACCATGCCTGGCTAATTTTTTGTATTTTCAATAGAGATGGGGTTTTGCTATGGTAGCCAGGATCTCCTGACCTCATGATTCACCTGCTTCAGCCTCCCACAGTGCTGGAATTATAGGTGTGAGCCACTGTACCCAGCCCGAGCTTCTTCATTTTGATGTTATTTTTTCTTTAAGAATTTTTTAGTTATGGCCGGGAGTGGTGGCTCATGCCTGTAATCCAAGCACTTTGGAGGCCAAGGCGGGCGATCATCTGAGGTCGGGAGTTCAAGACCAGCCTGACCAACACGGTGAAACCTTGTCTTTATTTTAGTGATATTTTCTATGTTTCTTAACTTTACAATTTCTGTTTTTTGCATACACACACATATATTGAGACGGAGTCTTGCTCTGTAGCCAGGCTGGAGTACAGTGGCATGATCTGACTGCAGCCTCTGCCTCATGGGTTCAAGGAATTCACCTGCCTCAGACTCCTGAGTAGCTGGAACTATAGGTGCGCACACCACACCTGGCTGTGTGTGTGTGTGTGTGTGTGTGTGTGTGTGTGTTTTAGTAGAAATGGGATTTCGCCATGTTGACCAGGATGGTCTTAATCTCCTGACCTCATGATCTGCCCACCTCATCCTCCCAAAGTGCTGAGATTACAGGTGTGAACCACCATGCCTGGCTATCTTTTTGTTCTTATCCTCATTTTATTCTGATTTTCTATAGTTCTTTGTGTTTCTACTTTACTGAGTATTCATTATTTTCAGTTTTTAAAATTAATGTATACACCGTTTTTAATGGTTTCTTCCTGAAAATTTTATAATATTTTTTGAACTATTTTGCTGTATTTTATATTCATTGTAATTTTTAATTAAGATTTAGACATAAAGCTACTTTTCACCTTTTCACAATCTTTTTTTTTTTTTTGAGACGGAGTTTCACTCTTGTTACCCAGGCTGGAGTGCAATGGCGCGACCTCGGCTCACCGCAACCTCTGCCTCCTGGGTTCAGGCAATTCTCCTGCCCCAGCCTCCTGAGTAGCTGGGATTACAGGCATGCGCCACCATGCCCAGCTAATGTTTTGTATTTTTAGTAGAGACGGGGTTTCACCATGTTGACCAGGATGGTCTCGATCTCTTGACCTCGTGATCCACCCGCCTCGGCCTCCCAAAGTGCTAAGATTACAGGTGTGAGCCACCGCGCCCGGCCCACAATCTTTATAATGTAGCTCTGTCCTGGCATAGTCTGAAAACAATTATTTTGGTTAGAGATTCTGGGATTCTCTCAAACATGTTCTTAGAATGTATCTTGTCCAGTGGCTGATGCCAGTAATCCCAGCACTTTTGAGGCCAAGGTGGGTGGATCACTTGAGGCCAGGAGTTCGAGACCAGCTTGGCCAACATGGTGAAACCCCCGTCTCTTTAAAAAAAAAAAAAAAGAATGTATCTTGTCCAAAATTTTGTGTTTAATTTTTAGTTAGTTAAGGGACTTGATCTCTGCTTCATCTTAATCAGTAATCATTTGTGACATCTGTTTTCTGTCTGTTGCACTACAGTCTCTCTGTTGCTGTAATGTTTACCTTTGGTCTCAGCAAACCCAAACTGTCATTCCAAAATATACCACCATTTCTTCCAGTACTTTGTTATGGGATACCAGTTTTTGAAAAGGCTTCTAGAATCAATTAATATATATGTATGTGCCAGTATTATACTTGTATATTAAAAAAGAAACCGAAAGTTAGGAATTTACTTTGAAAAGCACTGTGTTATTTTGGAGAGCAGAAAGAACTTTGTTGGAGAAATATAACAGACTTTTCTTTTTCTTGTGTGTCTTTGCATTGTACTCACCTGGGGAACTTTACACATTTAAGTTTTTCTCGCCGGGCGCGGTGGCTCAAGCCTGTAATCCCAGCACTTTGGGAGGCCGAGGCGGGTGGATCACGAGGTCAAGAGATCGAGACCATCCTGGTCAACATGGTGAAACCCCGTCTCTACTAAAAGTACAAAAAAAAAATTAGCTGGGCATGGTGGCGCATGCCTGTAATCCCAGCTACTCAGGAGGCTGAGGCAGGAGAATTGCCTAAACCCAGGAGGCGGAGGTTGCAGTGAGCCGAGATCGCGCCATTGCACTCCAGCCTGGGTAACATGAGTGAAACTCCGTCTCAAAAAAAAAAAAAAGTTTTTCTCAAATGATTTTTATTACATTTATATGTCCATGAAGGATTTAGGGCCTGTAGTATTTTATTATGGCATCTTGCTCATGTGGTTTGTATAGTATAGAGATTATTCATAAAGTATGTTTATCTAAATTTAGTAAGTTCAATAATTTGTTTTTATTTCTTTCAGCTATGTGTTCTTATTTTCCCAAAAACCTTTGGCCAGAGCAAGACATAAAAGATTCTTTTCAACAAGTGATTCTGAGAAGATATGGAAAATGTGGACCTGAGAATTTACAGTTAAGAAAAGGCTCTGCAAGTGTGGATGAGTGTAAGGTGCACAAAGAAGGTTATAATGAACTAAACCAGCGTTTGACAACTACCCAAAGTGAAATAGTTCGATGTGATAAATTTGTAAAAGTCTTTCATAAATTTTTAAATTCAAATAGACATAAGACAAGACATACTAGAAAAAAAACTTTCAAATGTAAAAAATGTGATAAATCATTTTGCATGCTTTTACACCTAAGTCAACATAAAAGAGTTCATACTGGGGAGAATTTGTACCAATGTGAAGAATGTGGCAAAGCCTTTCAGTGGTTCTCAACCTTTGCTAGACACAAGATAATTCATACTGGAGAGAAACCCTTCAAATGTGAAGAATGTGGCAAAGCTTTTAAGCAGTCTTCAACCCTTACCACACATAAGATAATTCATACTGGAGAGAAACCCTTCAAATGTGAAGAATGTGGCAAAGCTTTTAAGCACCCCTCAACCCTTAGTACACATAGGATGATTCATACTGGAGAGAAACGCTACAGATGTCAAGAATGTGGCAAAGCCTTCAGCCGGTCCTCACAGCTTACTACACATAAGAGAATTCATACTGGAGAGAAACCCTACAAATGTGAAGAATGTGGCAAAGCTTTTAACCGATTTTCATACCTTACAAAACATAAGATAATTCATACTGGAGAGAAATCTTATAAATGTGAAGAATGTGGCAAAGGCTTTAACTGGTCCTCCACCCTCACTAAACATAAAAGAATTCATACTGGAGAGAAACCCTACAAATGTGAAGAATGTGGCAAAGCCTTTAGTGTGTCTTCAAACCTTACTACACATAAGATGACTCATACTGGGGAGAAACCCTACAAATGTGAAGAATGTGGCAAAGGCTTTAGTTGGTCCTCAACCCTTACTAAACATAAGATCATTCACACTGGAGTGAAACCTTACAAATGTGAAGAATGTGGCAAAGCTTTTAACCAGTCCTCAAACCTTACTACACATAAGATAATTCATACTGGAGAGAAATCTTACAAATGTGAAGAATGTGGCAAAGCTTTTAGCCATTCCTCAATCCTTACTACACATAAGAGAATTCACACTGGAGAGAAACCCTACAAATGTGAAGAATGTGGCATAGCTTTTAACCGATCCTCAAAACTTACTAAACATAGGCTAATTCATACTTGAGAGAAATCTTACAAATGTGAAGAATGTGGCAAAGTCTTTAACCAATCTAAACATAGGAAAATTTATACTGGGAAGAAACTGTACCAACTGTGAAGAATGTGGCAGTGCTTTCAACCAGTCCTCATATTTTTTTAAACAAAATAATTCATACTGCTGAGAAAAATCTACAAGTGTGAAAAATGTGCCAGAGCCTTTAACCAATCTTCAACTTTTTTTTCTTTTTTTTTTTTTGAGATAGAGTCTTGCTCTATTGCTCAGGCTGGAGTGCAGTGGCACACAGTCGGCTCACCGCAACCTCCGCCTCCTGGGTTCAAGCAGTTCTCCTGCCTCAGCCTCCCAAGTAGCTGGGATTACAGGTGCGCATTTTTGTATTTTATGTATTTTTGTATTTTTAAGTTTCACCATGTTGGTCAGGCTAGTCTCAAACCTCTGACCTCATGATCTGTCCACCTCAGCCTCCCATAGTGCTGCGATTACAGGTGTGAGCCACTGTGCCCAGCTCAATCCTTAACTCTTAACTAAGCATTAAAAAATTTATACTGTACAGAAATGCTATGAGTGTGAAAAACATGGCAAAGCCTAAATTGGTCATCACACTTAATTGTAGGTAAGATAGTAAAGAAAATACCTACACATGTGAACAATGTGGTAAAACTTGTAACCAGTGCTCACACCTTATTGCACAGGAAAGCATTTATAATTGAGATAAATTATACAAATATAAAGACTGAAAAGGCCATTAATATCTTCTCACGTCTTAACACCAGAGAGTAATAAAAGCATACGTACAATTACTGTCAAAAGATCTTTCAGATAATAGAAGCTTTTGGCCAGCTGCAGTGGCTCATGCCTGTAATACCAGCACTTTGTGGGGCTAAGACAGGTGGATAATGAGGTCAGGAGTTTGAGAGCTTTGGGGTTCTGTCAGGATGGTGAGGGAAATTGTAAAATTATAGAAAATAAGCACACACCCTCTTGGAAGGCCTGGGGGTTTACACAAAGGGTTTGGCTGAAGGCAGAATTATCTTAAAAGCTTAGAGTGTGTAGATACAAAGGAATGTAGAGTACTTTAAATAGCTTGTTTCCCCATGTGGTTCTAAGACCAACCTATGATCAACTAGAGGTACATAATTGCTGTCTACTCGGGGAGTCAGCAACCGGGTAAATTACCCTCTAGTGATGTTTCTTCAAGATCTGTGTCATTTAATCTGTGCTTAATAAATGTGTCGCTGGCTGATTGGGGCCTTGGCTGTGACTCTTTGCAGCACTTTTCATGGTGTCTGTGAGTGGCCCAGGCCCTCAGCCAGGCTGACGGGCAAAATATCTGTGTCAGTGTACATCTCTTGTCTGTTGCTGGGTCAGGGTCTGTGGGTCGGACCCCTTCAGCTGGTGCTGTGTGTGTGGAATGTTGTGAAAGATCGCTTCAGACCCCCAGAAATGAAGGTGAAAAGGATTGAATGATCAGTAAGTCATTGGTGCCCACTTGGGATTTCTGTGTTGGGGTTGGGAGGGGAATTGTTCAGGCTAAGGTTTTATCATGGGACGACAGTGATCAGCTGCTTAAGGCTAGTGAAGCCTCGATTTCACAGGCTCAATTAAGGGACCTAATGCAAACTGTTGTAACCCGTAACTCAAGGTTCCCAAAAGAAGGCAAGCTAGACGTAGAGCTCTGGGAAAAAGTGGGGAGAAAACATCATCACAAGGGCAACAAGTCCCGGTAACAGCCCTAACACTATGGGCTTTAGTTAAAGCTGCTCTTGTTCAGCTATACACAGAAAAACCTAAAAAGTGGAAGGAGGAATACCTGTCACCTACTTCACCACTCCTGAGTCCCTCAGCCCCGTTGTCACCAGACCAAAATAACAGAGAGAAAATGGAGGTTTTGCCGGAGCCCCCTCCTCCAATGTATATGAAAAAAGGACAAGAGACACGCTCCAGTTGTGGGACCTTGTCTTAAGCAGGCAGCATTAGAAGGGGAGCTCTTAGCCTGCACAGTAATGCAAGACTGACAAGGCAATCGGCTACATGAACCCATTTATTTTAATGCTTATAAGGAGCTGAGAAAAAGCATTAAAATGGAGCCACTAGGCCAGGTGCAGTGGCTCATGCCTATAATCCCAGAACTTTGGGAAGCCAAGGCGGGTGGATTACCTGAGGTCAGGAGTTCGAGACCAGTCTGACCAATATGGTGAAACCCCACCTAAAAAAAAAAAAAAAAAGCCACTAGCCCATTTATGAAAGGAATAATTGAGGCCTTGGTAGACCACTTCCATGTGACTCCAAGGGTCTGGTCAATGCTAGCTGAAACAACTTTGGAACCTAGCCAATACCTCCTCTGGAAGGCAGAATATGAGTTTTGCAAACAAGCCAACCAGAATTAAGCAGCTGGGCAAGACATTACAGCTGCCATGCTCAAGGGGAGGGGTCTTTATTGCTGATGTACAACAACAACTAGATTTCGATCCCCAGGGCTATACTCAAGTATCTCTGTGCACTCTCAGGCTTGGGACTGAATTCCGAAAACTGGAGTTCAACAGGGGTCTTACATAAATGTTTAAGAAGGGCCTCAGGAGCGATTTGTTGAGTTTATCAATTGGTTAACCCAGGCCATTAAGAGACAGACTAGTCATGCCCAGGCTGCTAATAGATTGTTGCAAGTGGCTTTTGAAAATGATAATGTGGGCCGGGCGCGGTGGCTCAAGCCTGTAATCCCAACACTTTGGGTGGATCACGAGGTCAAGAGATCGAGACCATCCTGGTCAACATGGTGAAACCCCGTCTCTACTAAAACTACAAAAAATTAGCTGGGCATGGTGGCGCGTGCCTGTAATCCCAGCTACTCAGGAGGCTGAGGCAGGAGAATTGCCTGAACTCAGGAGGCGGAGGTTGCGGTGAGCCGAGATCGTGCCATTGCACTCCAGCCTGGGCAACAAGAGCGAAACTCCGACTCAAAAAAAAAAAAAAAAAAAAAAAGTCTTGGAAATTGACTTTTGCATGACTTACATGCTACCAGTGTCAATTTGCAACCCATGGGACCCCTTCAGCAGGGACTCCCTTCCCCTGTTCCTCAAGAACAGGAGAACGCAATTCCTTAAGATTGTCCTGTAATCGTTACTGACTTAAAGGACTGTTTTTATACAATTTCCCTAGAACAACACAGAAACATTTGCATTTGCAATACCATCTATCAATAATGAAAGTCCGACTAGTCAATTTCATTGGAAAGTGCTTTCTCAAGGAATGCTAAACTGTCCTACCATGTGTCAATATCATGTAAATAAAGCTTTGCTCCCCAGTAGAAAAAAAATGATTACAAGGTTATTCATTTCATGGATGATATTCTACTAGCAGCCCCAATGGAGCCAATGCTTTTAAATTTACCTCTGTTGTAAAGAATACACAGCTAAGAGGTTTAATCATTGAATCTAAAAAGGTACAAATGTCCTCTCCTTGGAAATACCTCGAGTAAATACTAACTTCCCGGTCAGTAAGACCTCAAAAGTTTAAATTAAATACTAGCAACTTACACACCTTAAATGATTATCAGAAATTACTAGGTGATATTAACTGGCTCTGCCCCACTTTAGGCATTCCTACTTATAAGCTGCAAAACCTGTTTTCGATCTTAAAGGGAAATATAGCCCTTGATCCTCCCAGATATTTAACCCCTGCAGCAAAAAGTGAAATCAAGAAAATAGAACAAGCTATCTCTTAAAGGCAACTATATCACATTGATCCACGGTACGAATTGCTTATTTTTCCCACCAAACACTCCCCTACAGGGTTAATAGGACAGATGACCCTAGGACTGCACCTTCTAGAATTGGTCTTTTTTTTTTTTTTTTTTTGTTCCTCACATACCAGGACTAAAACACTCTCTTCCTATATCCAGTTACTTAGTAAAGTCATCCATTCAGGTCGCATACCATGCAATCAGTTGCTAGGTTATGATCCTGATATCAGGATTCCTTTAAGCAAAGAGCAATTCGATTAAGCATTGACCTTATTGATGAACTTGCAAATAGCACTCTCCAATTACACAGGACAAATAGAGCATGTCCTTCCTGCTGATAAACTCCTTCATTTCTTATCTCATACTGTGATCCTGCCTACAAAACTAGTTCACTGCCCTATACCTAATGCTTTAACACTGTTTACTGGTGGTTCGGGTAAACAGGGAAAAATGGCAGTTTGGTGGATATCACATAATTCCCTCACTCAATGTGGGTTTACTAGCAGTGAGAAAGCTGAGATTTGGGCCCTAATACTGGCTTTGAAAACTTTTTACACTCAGCACCACCATATTATTACTCAGCTCACTCTGTTTATTTACTGAAGAACCTTGAGAAAGCCCTAATTAAGTCCACTCTGGAGTCTGCCTTGTGTGTTCTTTTTCTCTGACTTCAGCAGTTGCTAGATCAATGTACACATCCCTTTACTATTACTTTGTTTGAGATGAACTTTCACTCTTGTTGCTCAGGCTGGAGTGCAATGGCGCGATGTTGGCTCACTGCAACGGCCGCCTCCTGGATTCAAGTGATTCTCCTGCCTCAGCCTCCTGAGTAGCTGGGATTACAGGCACCCACCACCACACCTGGCTAATTTTTGTATTTTTGGTAGAGATGGGAGGTTTCACCATCTTGGACAGCCCGGTCTCAAACTCCTGATCCGCCTAACTTGGCCTCCCAAACTGCTGAGATTACGAGGTGTGAGCCACCTCGCCCAGCCCACATTCTATTTTTATTACACACATTCAAGCCCACAGCTCACTGCATGGCCCATTGGCTTATGGCAATAATCAAGTAGACCTTCAGGATATGAAATCACTGTTTGACTAAGCCACCCAATCCCATCAATTTTTTTCACCAGAATTGGAGAAACTTATCTAAACAATTTCAACTTACCCAGATACTGGCTAAACGAAGTATCCTACGGTGCCCAGATTGCCAGCTCACAGGCACATCTCCTCTTTCAACAGGTGTTAACCCCAGAAGATTATAACATAACCAGCTATGGCAAACAGATGGTATACATATCCCTGAATTTGGAAAACGAAAATATGTACATGTATCCATTGATACCAACACTCATTTAATTAGTGCACATGCCCTTCCTGAAGAGTCTACTCAATATGTCATTAAGCATCTTTTTACTTCTGCATTTATAGGATGGCTCAGGCATCCCATATAACCCCTGAGGACAATCCATAGTAGATCGTGCTCATTTCACTCTTCAAAGTATACTCAAAAAACAAAACGAGTTTGAGTCAGGAATGTGCAACACTACTAGTATA